ACTCTTTCACAGTTTGATAAGTGAGAAAATAATGTCTGAAAGGGTCAAATGGTGCCTGGGAGGGCATCCCGAGAGTCAGGGCAGGGATGAGGCTGCCACTCAGAATCTAGCTGGGCCTGAGGGGTGCTTTAGCAGTGAGCCACAAAGCCCTTGTCCCTTGACCTTTCAGACCAATCTCTTGGATATATTTTCATGGAAATGCTTTCTGCAGGTGAAATTTAGTCAGCAACTTCACAAAGAATATGACCCTTAAGGCAAAATCATTACATAGTGACTTTGAAGTTTGTAGGTTTTTAGTCTGTATTTCACGTGCCATGTTTCCAAATAATTAGAGCAAGAAAATTCACTAGCAACTCCATGTAGAAGGAAATTAGATCAAAATCTTTACTAGATCAAAATCTTTACTTGTTCATTTTAGAGTTTTTTGTATACATGAAACTAATCTCTGACTCATGTCTGAGACTATTCTCACATCTTAAACCCAATTTTCTCTTAGGTAAGGATGTACAATGCAACTCTAGAACAGTGATAAAAATTAGGCAGAAAGCATAAAATGCAAATTTAGGATTACGGTATTAATATGAAAACAATATATACACATCAAACCTTTCCTGTGTTTTTACAGATACAATTCTTCCCAAGTTAGATGACCTTTCTTACATCCAATCCTCTGATATTAAAATGAAAGCCCTTGCCGGGCGGTGGTGGCGTACGCCTTTAATCCCAGCACTCGGGAGGCAGAGGCAGGCGGATCTCTGTGAGTTCGAGGCCAGCCTGGTCTACAGCGCGAGATCCAGGAAAGGCGCAAAGCTACACAGAGAAACCCTGTCTTGAAAAACCAAAAAAAAAAAAAAAAAAAAAAAGAAAGCCCTTGATTTTTATGCTGCAAATGTACAGAATGTTTCTAACTGGCAGCAAAAGTGATTATTATAAGGGAACTTCACCATGCTTTTGAAAATCAAAATTTGCAGCATATGAAAGCATTTATAATCCAGGTAGGTGGTTAATCACTCAACAAAAAGAAAAAAATTGACACCATGCTTAAAAGATCCAAACGGAGGATTACATTTATTTAAATGCCACCCAGTTGAAATTGGATGTCATCATAAATACATCTCACAATCTCTGATGTTCAGTCTTAAGACACCATCACCATTTGTAGTTGTCAAGGAACCTTTCTCCTAGGTTACACTGTTTAGGATTACATTGAAGAATAAAACTGCTAAGAAGTACTTTTACTCTCTGCAGACTGTTGGAAGAGATCTTGTAAAGTATCAATTACTAAACAGGACTAGAGAGTTGAGTTGTTCAAACTGAGGGCGATGAGTGGCGTCACATAACAGGTGGACAAGAGGTACAGTGATTACATTGTTTTTCTTCATTCAGATTTCAACAAGGGTGTTTTCAAGCATAGGTGGCCATGTGGCAACACCACCCTGAAATATACAATTTTCACATTTATTCCCTTTTTTTCTTTAGAAATAGCCTCACAGTGCATTGGTGGAGACTGTCATTTGCCACTGAAATGGGCAGGTTTCAGAGACCATGAGATGACCTTGAACTTTCTGCTATGAGAATTTCAAATGTCTCCACCACCAAAGTAAAAAAAAAAACAACTTACTTCTAGAACAAAATTCAAAGAAAGAAGCAGAGCTCAGTAAAGTCTGGAAGCCAGGCTGAGCCTCTTCCCCCAACACAAGCTACATGAAGTAAGCAAGGAACAGCAAAGGCAAGTGCAAACACTGAGGACTGGCACGGCCCACTTCAGAAACACACGTACACTTAAAATGTGGCTTCTTTGTAATGTAATGCACAACAGCCGAGTCTGGCTAATTCAAAACCGAAGAGAAATGTGGGCTTAACTTACCCTGAAACATTAGAATATGTGCCCTTTACAAGTCATGGCTTCGATCTTGACAAATCAATGAGAAATTCAATAAGTCAAAAGTACTTGTAATTAACTTTTTACTACATATTCTTCTTGTGCTTTTGTTGCTTTCTATTTTAATTGACACCAAGAAAGGGACATAGTATTACAAAAACCTGATGAACAAAAATACAAGTCTATTTTCCTAGATTCTGGTAATAAAAGTAAATGTATCGCAAATTTAATACTAGCTGGAAAGCAACCAGGCCCAGCTCTAATCATTTTGCTGAGAAGCGAAATTAATTACACATCGCTGTGATAACAGATCCCACAGCAGCACAGCTAGAATAACATCCATTTGGGAGAGGAAGGGGGTTTGAAATAAAAGGGCAGAAGAGAAGAAGGCAATATTCTGTTCAGACAGCAAGAGACGAGGCAATTTGGTCCCTAGAACATGGAGTGCACTGCACGGGAAGTGAGACTACCGGCTGGCCAAGTCAGCCAGTTCCTAATTCTCTTCTTCAACTTGGCGATTTGCTAATGTGAAACACATGTCTCTCTTTTGCACCAAGTTCAAATAGCTCTGGAATTCCAACCTTGCAGCTCAGCGACTGAAGCAGAACAAGGGGAGAAGTTGTCAGGATTTAAGGGCTTTCAGCAAAGCCCTTCAATTGCAGCCAGCACCCTATTCCACGGCAGGATATCAATTATAGATAGTGACTTGCTTTAGCAGGCAGTCGGGACTGTCAGACACTAGATAGACAACCATGAAGAATCATGAATCTTTCTATTAACTGTAAGAGGGGGGAAAGAATGGGTCATGGCTATAAATAAGGCAGAGCAACAGAATGGTTTAACACCTTGCCGCTTGGTTGTATGTGGCACGAAAATCCAACTAATCAGAAAATGTCTGCTCTCCAAGAAAACTGGCAAGATCCAAAATGGTTAATGCCCCCCTCTGTCCCTAAAAAACAGGCTTTGCAACTGGTGTATATTCCATCTGTCACCAAAGTAATTAGGTAGACTTGAGGTACCTGTTACTTTAATCAATAAAATATAAAGCCCCTATTCTGCACTGGGCCACCACTAATGCTTCCAGCAGCACCCAGAGCAGGAACGTATACATGTGTAAGGGCAATGAAAAGGCAATGGAAATGAGGAATTTCGGCACTTTAAATGGGATATAAGTGACCTGAACAGGAGGTTTGTGTTTTAAGTTGTAACTTTAAATTCATGTGACTCAGTTTGTTTACTCTTGTAATTTAGCTTTGACTAAAATTATTATCATAAAGGTAACACACTGGAATCTGACTAAATCCTGACACCAATCTCGTCTATCTGATTTAGAATTTTAAAGCTCTATTGTGTGTGTGTGTGTGTGTGTGTGTGTGTGTGTGTGTGTGTGTGTGAGATAGGTTCTATATAGCCATAAATACTATGGCCATTCAAGCTGCAGCTTCAGTAGCCTTCTCTTAAAACTATTCCGACCCATGAGGCCATCAGGGGAATCTTGGCATCAAGATTACATAAAATAACTACAATAGTCACTGCCTTTTACAACATAAAAAGGGAAACACCCAGGCCCAAGCCAGCCTTACATGAGGGAGGCAGTGAAAAGGTTAAAGCGCTGCCATACCCCCTCATCCACCCTGGGAATGCTCCCGGCATAGGCTACTCTTTGAGAATAATTCCTCACGGAAAAAAAAAAAAAAAAACCTAACTTCTCCCCTCTTAGTGTAACGAGGCCTTTGTGCTTTCCACTAAAGAAGTCAGCACGAAAGAGTCATTAAGACAGACTTAGTTTAAAATTAATACTTGAATAAAATTAAAGAGGAAAAAAATGACATGTGTGGAAAAATTTGAAAATATACCTTAATTAAAAACATTCGACTTACTTTTTTGGCTGTACTTGAGAAATCTCTAATTCTACTTATATAGAATTACAAATACAAAGTGATATAATTTAAAAAGAAAAGGGGAGAGGAGGTCCTGACGGTGACATGTGAAATCTAACATTCTGTATATCATGTTTCTCATAATCTGCAGTGCTGAACTTAACTCTACTAGGTAACTGTGCAGGAAACATGACACAGAATGATCTAGGCTGCAAAAACAACAACTGAAAAGCTCATACAACATAGAAAGCACAGAGATTCTGTAATTTTAAAGTTTAGTCAAAACAGACGAAGGCTACAATAAGCACAGGTCATCTACAAGGCAAAGATGCTGTAAAACAACAGATGAGCATTAGTGTCTCTTTCATGCATGTGCTCAAGAGAAAGGAGCGAGCACTCCAGGGGTGCATGGTCAGACTTTGTATCACAGCATGAGCACAAGAAACTGTCCTATTTGCTAAAACCATCCTTAGTGCCTTAACGGGATATAGAGAAATCATCTGAGCTTTCATATTCCAGACACTCAGGTGTTTTTGGTCCCATTTCTCAAGAAGGCTCTACTGGCCTTGGAGACGATGCCAAGCATGAAGCCTTGGCAAAGGAGCTGGGAGCATACCAGGTTATCTGAAACAGCACTAGAAAGTGAGTCAAAGACATCTGGCCTTGCTTTGGCAAGAAAAGGAAAGGTACCCCAATGTGACTACTGTGGAGTTTTCAACATTAGACACAATTCTTTTCCATGCAATTTTAACCCACAATGTTGCCTTTGGATCAAAAATAAAGCACCAATTGCTACATGCAATAATAGGAGGCTCTTTAAACTTTGAAGTCTGCAAAAGGAAAAAAAGGAACCATCTGTTTCTGTAATTTTTTATATTGTTACTGGGTCTTGGAAGAGGAATCAAACTTAGTTAAAAGGTTAATAATAATTCATGTCCAGCTTACTATTACTCAATAACCATCAAAGCCTCTAACTCAAAATAGTGTTTTCTGGCTTACAGGATCAGAGTCATTACACTCTCTATTGAAGACTTTATTGAATTTTACACTAAGCTTTAGCTGACTGAACAGGTCAAGCACCATGGCTCAGAGTTTTCTTTATTCTCAGAAAAATCATAAAGCCCTCTCCAGTTTTCAGTGCTGCCAGCTACGAAACTTGACTCCGTGCAGGGTCAGAGAAGCCGACCTCATACAAAGGTCACCGAGTTGGGGAGCCGCGTCCAACACCAGTCACTTACATGCACAAGCTGATCCTGGGTGTCGAACTCTCTGGTGCAGCCTTCCCAGTGGCAGTTTGTCTCGTAGATGACTTCAGGCTCCTGCTTGCTTTCATCTTTGTCCCCTTCCTCCTTGACTAGGGTTGTTCCTTCAGGCTGTTCCTGTTGTGGGGGAAGGCAAGAAGCAGAGAGGGAAAATGAGGGATGGTAGGAAGGGAGACCCAAGAAAGCAGACACCGGATTTAGATCTGTTTCCCTGTCAACTCAACTTTTCAGGAAAATAAAAGGAAGCGAGGTCTGCTAGCTGGGTCTTGTGGAAGGAAGAAGTCGAGCATTCCTATGTATCCTGAATATACCTTCTGAGATTGTTTTAACTTATGGTGTAAGACAGTAGCCCAATTATAACAAAGACAAAAAGCTGAAAACCAGGCCCTGCTCCTGGAATATAAACCAAACTGGTATTTTAAGAAACAAAACAAAAAAAAAAAAAATAAAAAAATAAATTTTGAGGCAAAAAACAAACAACAGAACCCATAAAAGTAGCAAGTATTTACCCTCCCCCAAACCAGACCAATTTTGTTTGTTTTCACTCCCTTCAATATGTTTGTTTATTGTTATATCTTATAACGCAGAGAGATGGCTTTCGAATACTTTTAGTATTTTCCCTAACAGGAGACACACTTGTGGACTTTTCTTTCGGGGATCATGCCTTCTGGGTTTAGCCTCTGGTCTTCAGGGAGATGCCGGTCTGCCTCACGGTTGAGGCCAGGGAAAGACATTGCCTGATGCTCTGGACACAGACTTTTCTAGTCCTCTATGAAAGCTTCAGAGTAAATGCAATTCAAAGAATCTCCAGAATTCTAGGCGATATCTAGATGTATAGATTTGAGTCTTGATCTAGGGCTCTATGATAAACTGTTTAAGTACACATCACAGTGTAATCAGCAAGGCTGTTCGTTGTCTAGAAAATCATAAGAAGGATGGTTTCAGAATGCCCTATCACAACTTTACTCCACCCTCTAAGTTCTCACTGAGGAAGTCTGGGCCTCACTTCAGTAAGGCTTGGGTTGAAGCAGACTGATGATGGCAAGATTCAGATTCTATGGACCTGTAGACTCTCATTTAGTTCTGATTTGGGGAAAACAGCACTGATTAAGCTCCTCATGTCTGGCTCAAGAGCATATGACATGGCAGTTTGGATATAGCCTATATATTCTTCAGTGGAACCAGACCGACGTGATCAGCAATAACAGTCCAGAATCTATCTGGCTGTGCTTCAGTCTCTCTTGGTTCTCTGAGCCCCGTGAGAAGCAGCAAAATAAGAAAAGTGGAGAACTTGATCAACGAAGGAGACATCATAAGCTCTGCCTCAGCTTAAACATGCAGTCAGAAGCTCAGTAATTTTGGCCCAAGGTCAGGGATGAGAAGCCTAGTCATCCCTATGGTCAGTAACGGATGAAGTCTGACCAGAGACTCTATGAACTGAGATGAGTTCAACTTCTAAGCTGTCTCACCTATCAAGAACATGTACCTCACACAACTTCCTTCCTTGTTGGTATTTATTTTTGAACTAGAGACATTAATTCCATCAATCCCTAACTACCTCATTTTCAAACACATGGCCAATGTCAAGAATACAGTAGGTAAGAAAATGTTGAGTATGAGTCTGGAGGAGGGGGAACTGACCCAAAGTCACTATGAGAGTAGTAATAGCTGGTTTTTAAGCCTAGGCGTCTTACCTGCTGTCCCCGTGACCCTGGGCTGGGGAGGTCTTCATCGGGTTTGATCTTGGACCGCTTATTATGCATAGGATCGCCGGTGCTGCTCACTGCAGACTCACTGGTGGGCTTGTTCTGCAGGCCATATTTGCAGGGGCAAGGGAAAAATTAGGTTTGATTAATAACTACAGCCTAAGTGAAAATGTTACTAAAAACAAACAAGCTTATTTGATAATAGGGCAATGATTCTGATAATGCCTGTCACCCATAGGAGAGTCCAGATGATGGGACCAAAGCTAGATAATGCCTTTGTGGAACATTCTTCACTTTTGACTCACGAGTATCAACTGCTTGTGGCTTTTAAAAGCTCAAAGAACAGAGCAAGAGAGCCCTAGACTTTAACAAGCTAGAATTATTTCCAAAAAGTTGGGGTGGGAGATCAATACAAATTATTAGTAAAGTTCTTCAATTATAGCTTCTAGATTCTTCTTTTAATCATACCAGGCTGGCAAAAGAATAAAGAGACTGGAGGTTTATGTTTACTCTAGAGTATCATGCAGTGCTCAGTAGTAGCCTGGTTATAGTGGAGGGAATGGACAGTGGCTGAGAGTTCACACACATGGACTACCAACAGAAGATGTAGTTTATAGACTGTTGGAGTAGAGCCTTATCAGGAAGCCTACTTTTAAATCGTAAGCAAATGGCTCTAATGTAAGATGTCCTGGTTCCCATTCATCGACACGGAATACTCCTTTGGAAAAAGAAGACAAGATATCCAAGTGAAGCCTGGACAATGATGAACTCTATGGAACTAACAGCCAGTGTGATGACAAGGCTTCTGTTGACCAAGATGAAACAAAGCTGTGTCTCTCACCTGTGAGGACTCAGAAGGGCCAGAGCTGACCTGGACAGGGTTCAGAACCGTCGGGATTCCAGGGATAGGTCTCTGTGTTGGAAACGTTGGAGCAGGGTGGATGAGTGGAGGGCTGTGTCCAAATGCTGAGCCTAAGCTTTGCTGTCGGCTTAGGATCTGCTGATGCATATGGAGAGACACAGGGGCAGAGGGGTAGGTGAAGCTCAGGGCAGGGCTGTGCAGGAAGATAAGAAGGAAAAGTATCACTTACGCTGACATCAGAAACTATTACAAACTAAGAATATTTATAGCTTTAACTGAAGCCACCCAAATCACACCAGGTCTGTCTCTTGCGATGAGAGGTTATAAACAATTACTGCCAAGTGTCTTGACCACGTCCAAGAAAAAGCAGAACTCTAGGAGCAGACATGTATGCACATCTTCCCCACATCACATCCCCTGATGGAAGATTCTAGAAAGTGGAAATAAGGGGCATTGGCTCAATAATAACTATTTATTGCAATAACAAACTTTATATAAAAAAGAGAATGGGTGACTATATGCTTTATAGTACTTTTATGTGCTCTGGGTTCCGCTTGTTCCTGTGCATGGAGCAATTCCTTTAATCTTAGCTCACACCGATCGCTTTCATATGTCTCCAGATCTTATTACAAGAGGAAAGAAAATCAATTGGTTAAATGTGTTTTGAACACCATGCTTGTCATATCACTCATTTGTTTGTAAAGATGGAAAGCTTGGTTCATCCAGAATGCCACCTAAAGAATTTCCATCAGTGCCGTCTGGTTACAGAAGCTGATGGATTAACCTCTCCCCACTGAAATCAGTGATCAATGGGCTTTGATGGGGGAATATTCCAATGGGAGAGCACAACTCCCTCCTCCAGCAAAATGGCATTAAGTGTCTATTACAGCCCATTATGAATGCTAATGTCTGTCATCACTTTATTTTGCCACCTATATCCCAGGCCACAGTCAGTGCTACTTATACCTCAGGAGACACCAGCCAATGACCAGTGGCCAGAGTTTCTTTGTGTGAGCACAGTTTAGGAATCAAATCCTCTAAAAGCAACAGCGGACTCTGGAGAACTTTTCCAAGGGCTTAAAAATGCATGGAGAACTAATAACTTCCTACATAGAACCCTCCTGTATAAAAAAAAAATCTGATAAAAAATTTACGCACATGCACACATGCGTGAAAGCACACACTCAAACAACTGTAATGTTAGCCAGAAAGAACCAAAGTTTCTCATAATATTAGCAGTAGAACTCATGCAAATTTCCAATCTGGTGGGTTAATTACTATTGCTGCTAAGCACATTAACTGAGAATAAAATAATTACAATAACAAAATTCAAACCATTTCAACAACTTTAAGTAATAATCAGAGATATACTCCCTTCATTAACGTGACTTTACATTTTTGTCTATTTGACTATAACCCATAAAAGGGCGGCTTCAATGGGAATTCATTACTATTATTCCTACAGAGAGTTTTCCTTTACAATAGCCTGCCCATTTAAGACTGAATACCATTAAGAATACCCTTGGAGAAATCCACCAGGCTTTGAGGGATTCTCCTTTCATTTCACATTGTATTTCCTTAATAAAGGAAAGCAGAAACATGGTAAAAACAGTGATTGGTCACAGTATGTTAGAAGAATCAGTAGTAATATTCTGTTTCTGCAGTGGTAGAGTTCCTGCCTGTATTTCTGTGAGCAACCATGAATGATTACAGCAAGACTCACCTAAGGTAGCTGTGTGGATGATTGATAGGGCATTAATCAAAAGATGCATATCTACCTCAGAATTTGTTCACAAGCTTTCTTCTAATAGCTGATTTCATGTTCACTGAGCTCTATGCCAGTTTGTCCAATTTATTTTTCGGTGTACAAGCCATTCATCAAAACCCACAATGATTTAACACCTCCCCCTCCTTTGGGTGAATGGGTATTACTAAGTGTAACTACCTTATTCTACTCATTAAAGAAACAAAACCCAAAGACCCCCACTTCAGGTATAATTAAAACGTCAACAGTCCCTGCATTAACCTTTATACACATTTTTAGTTTCTCAGGGGCCTGAATTATCCAGCAGGCCTAAGGAAGGAAACTCAGGAAGAGGTGACTGACACTTCAAACTGTGGATAACATCAGATTCTGGGCTTAAAAATGGAGTTCCTGATTAGGAGTTAAGATGACTAAAGAATAATACCTCACAAAGCAGAAAAGGACCTTGCTTTTTATATATATGCAATTCAATAGAATTTACTGTATGCAGAATGCTGAACAAGATAGGTATATTTTAAAAAGTATCAGTGCAGATGAATCAAGGCTCAGCATTTCTATAGAAGTTCCTTAGCACCACAGTCCTCCTTGTCCATGGGTACCTAAGAGTTTGAGATTTTCAGCACACCTTTATAGCTCTCACTGGAGCTTACTTTTCACTAGTGAAACCAGGTAGCTGAAATAAATATGCTCTAAAATTTACTTGAACTACTAGGCAGCAGGGTTGACAGACCGATGATTTCTCAGCCTTTGTGGTTTATTATAGGCCAGAAACAGATGATCTCTTCTCTGGGTGCCAAGATCTGGGTACTGCAAACCACCAAGATGCCTTTGATAATTCAGGAATGGCCAGGCCCGCCCGGCTGCCATTAACACCATGCCTAGGGAGGGCTGCAGTAGGGCTGCTCAGCTCCAGATCACAAACCAGTTTAGAATCTAATGAAAAAAGCACAACTTTCTAGGCTCTGTCACAGTATCTGTATTTGCAGATTTCACAGTCAGTGTTGCTCAGAACACTGTCTATGGAGTTCTCAGGTTGAGTTCTTAAGGAAAAAGCAGAAAATGGGCCAAGAAAGACTGGGCATGGCAGCTACATCCAGAAGAGGCCACACATACTATCTATCAAATGATGCCTCTATGTGTACTCTCATGGTGAGAAAGGTGTGCAGAGAGTCTTCTGAGTTCTTGAGGGGGAGCCTGGGAGCCCACGCCTATGATCAAGTCTAAGAGGCAGGGCCATAGAAAGCGGAGTGCTGCTCTATGAAGTTTTGGCCTCTGGGTACAGAGGTGGCCACCCTGTATGCTGGTACTTGCTGTGTTCCCTGCCCTGACCCCTTGGCCTCTAAAGTTGAGCATAAGCTCTGGGCTCCTGCCCCTCCCACTGCTTTTAGAGGCTGCTAAAAGTCTTGGCTCGTCACCATCCTACTCTAGTCTCTCTTCTGACTGACTCTAACTCTTCTCTCACAGGACCCTGGTTATTAATTTCATGACACAGATAATTCAAAATGAAATCAAGATCTGCAGCTTCACCACATCTACATATAAGGTAACTTGTTCACAGGTTTCAGGGAATTAGGATGTGAGTATCTTTGGGGGCCATTATTCTGCCTAGCACCCTCAGGATACTGTCACTTTAAAAAAAAAAAGCCATATTAAGAAAAAGTCTTCCTCTGAAAACTCCAAGCAGACACCATACACACCAGGCATTTCAAAGTCACTGTATTCAAATCACATTGAAAACCCCACTGAAAGAGCTTACAAGAAGATCCTATAATGTGTCTTTCAATTTTTCAGGAATTTCATGTATGGTGCGAGGTAAGAAGGGTGATGCCAGATTCCATAATAATTGTGCTATCAATAAAGCAACATGGTTTGGACTGATGCAGTCCTTTACACTGGAAGAGCTGATCATGTTTACATTAAAAATGAAAACAAGGAAGAGGCCACATTACCCAGGCACCAGACACGCAAAGGTAAAAGCTGGAGTCCATTAAGTCACACAAAGTATTATATTGAAACTTATTTGTGTGTTAACTTTTAAAAAGCAGTATTTTCCCTAAAGATAACTGTTTTTCCTTATAGTAACCACAGAATTTCCCATAGCCGGAGGTGTTAATTTTTTTTCTTTCTTGTGTCAAACCACAACAAACCTGGGGGTTATGGGTAGTTAGGCAGCTAAGTCCTCCCCAGCTTTGATCTACACTGATGCAGCAGAGAGCCTCTTAGGCTTCTGAGTTCATCTCTGAAATCTCTCAATGATCTGGAGTGGGCTGAACAGAGCTGCCTCAGGCAAGTGGCTAATGAGAGAACTAAGTTACATAACAGCTCTGTAGCGGATGGTAAAAGACAGAGCAAGCCAGACAGGCACAGCTCTGAAGTCCAGTGGGTTGTGTAAACAATAGGTGACTCCTTTGGATTCCAAGGAAATGCCTTGCTTTAAATGTAAGCTGTACTCTTCTTAGTGACTCCCAATAGATATGTATTTTCTAAATTGCCATGGCAATTAACTTTCAGATTTGAAGTGGGTCTGTTTATTTTGAGACAGGGTTTCACTATGTAGGTCCTGCCTGGCCTGAAGTTCTTTATGTAGATCAGGCTGGACTCAATCTCACAGAGATCCACCTCAGAGTGCTAGGATTAAAAGATGTGCTCCACCACATTCAGCTCAGGTTAAAACATTGTGAAAAGAAACTCATTTGATCATATTACAGAGTACTCCTATAAATTAGGATGAGGGAATAAGCCCAGATCTCTAAAGGCAGAAGGACCCAGGGCCTGCTGTGCTTGCTTTCTGGCTTCTGCCTCTCCTAAATCTTTTGCTCATGAACCCATCTTGTATGTTAAGTGAGGTAGCACTGAGATAACACGAGGCAAAACTGCAGTCTAATCACACCCAACTTCCTAGTCATGCTGTGGGTTCTGTGCTAACAAGGTCATTCACTTCTTGTCATAGCTCTGAAATTTACTATACAACAGCTGCTATTCAAAGAACAATTCTTCCCAGTTTTGCAGGAATGGTCTCACAGCTTCTATTCATTCTATGTGTACACATATAGGTATATGTATGCACCCATGTGTTTATACTTGAGAGCAAACAAAATAAAAACTTCTACTGCCATCCATAAACATTCTTAAGGCATATTTATTGGAAAATCCAACTAAGCCTCAGCAGGAAAGCACAGGGAGGTACAGACCCGCACACTCAAAATGAATGTGTCCTAACATTTATGTTCCGGTATGCATACTCTGAGTAGCCTTGGAGAATGTGCATTAGGCTTTCTGTTGTGAAGGTGCTGTGGAAAACTAACAAGGTACTTGCAGCCAAGCAGCCATGAACAGGAACAGCAGCGGCATGCTCTGCAGTGGGAGCTGCTGATAACTTTCAATGCAGTAAATGGGCTGAGCACATACACATGGTGAGAAAGACCACG